TTGTGAACTGAATGCATCTATTTATTTAACTATAGCAAAGCTCTCAATTATTACCACACATTTTGAAAGTAACGAAGAGAAAAGCAGATTTTATTGGGCGATTCTGCATTGGCTTTTCCCTCTGCTGTTTTACCAAACCCACCTTGGAGCAGAAATTCCCCTCTGGACTGCATGCCGCTTTCACTTTCTTTGATCATCGGGTTTTATGGTACCGTCTGCATACATTTATGGCCATTCAGGGGTGACTTTATAGTCAGTACAGCATTGCCCCAGGGTACTTGAATATGGTTTTGAGCTGCACCTTTTCCTCAGTGTTGAGAAAAAGTGGAGCGAATGCCAGATGCAGAATTGCCCATTCTTAGGCTGCGATCACACACACTAAATAATCCACTTTCAATGCACTTTCCAACTGGATTTTACTGTGTGAACTGCAAAATCCAGTTGGAAAGTGCATTGAGAGTGGATTATTTAGTGTGTATGATTGCAGCCTTACGGTCCAATTCATACTGTCTAAAAGTGTAGGAATTACTTCCCTGTGGTCTGGTTCCTTGTATCAACTGCAGAATATCCTTCATAAGCACATCCTGTTTCTGTCATGAGCCCCCCCTGTCATATCTTTGGCATCCACCATTATTCTAGGAGGACAATTTCACACATCCTTAAAAACCTTCTAAGATAGTAAATCAGAAAGGGTATCATTCTTTCTCCCCAGTTCTGTGGTAATTCTAAAGTACAATTGTTGTTCAGTTGCACAGTCGAGTCCGACTCTTCGCGACCCCATGGACCAGATCACGCCAGGCCTTCCTGTCTTCCGCCATCCTCTGAAGTTTGCTCAACTTCATGTTCGTTGCACCTATGACACTGTCTAACCATCTCATCCTTTGCCTTTCCCGTCTTCTTTGACCTTCAATCTTTCCCAGCATCAGGGTCTTCTCCAGTGAGTGCTCCCTTCTCATTGGGTGGCCAAAGTACAATACCTTATGTGAAACAACATAAATGGCTTAACCTTGTGCTTTGTTTCCCAGTTAAGCATCTGTAATTTTTTTTTAATGTTGAATAGATGATCCACTCAGAGAAACGAGGGGATTCTGCGAGGATGAAGGAGAGACCGGAGAAGGGTGCCTCTCTGCACAGCCATGAAAACGGTGCAGTCCTTATTTCCCTTTCTGTAAATGTTTCATTATGTGGAAACAGATAAAAGTAATGGTAGATATTATTAAGATCTACATTTATATATACCATCGGTCTCAAGACTCCATTGTCTGCTTAGAGATGTATACATATTTTTTCATTGAAATGTATACCTTTTAAAATTGCTCAGTAGCTAGATTTTCAGATGAAAAAAGCAAAATGTAATAATTTGTTTACAATAGTCACATCCTTCTCTTCTGATAGGCTCAGGGCAGCAACAATAAACAAAACTGAGGCAAAATATGAGAAAAATTCACAAAAAATACAAATATTAATAAAAAATGCTCAACCATCTATAAATCTTTTAAAAGTTTCCCATATTATAGTTTTACTACTTTGCGATTATTAAACTTTGTAGGTCCTCAATCTCCGCAGCACGTAAACAATACAGAAATTTGTCACCTGAGTAACCGTTTTGGTTAAAAGCTCTCTGAAATAAATGAGGCTTGCAACCCTTTTGAATGACCATTGAGGAAAGAAATATGATAAGACACCATAAGGATGGCTGATGTTCCTTTCTGAGGTAAAAAGTCAGATTTCTGTCTGGTCAGTCACACTACTCATGATAGGTGGTAGATCTCAGAGGATGCACAAGAGAATTGGTTCCCTCTGAGGTAAAAAGTCCTATTTCTGACTGGTCAGTCACACTACTCTCGATAGCTGGTAGAACTCAGAGGATGCCCAGGAGAGGTGGTCCCTCCTGAGGTAAAAAAAATCTGATTTCTGACTGGTCAGTCACACTACTCATGATAGCTAGTAGATCTCAGATGATGATGTGGTTCCTTCTGAGGTAAAAAGTCCAATTTTTGACTGGTAGGTCACACTAGTCATGATAGCTGGTAGACCTCAGAGGATGAACAGGAGAGGTGGTCCCTCCTAAAGGAAAAAGTCCAATTTCTGACTGGTAGGTAATGCTACTCATGATAGCTGGTAGATCTCAGAGGACACATTGGAGAGGTTAGTCCTTCAGGTATGAGGGTCCAATATTCTCAAGGGCTGTGAAATTAATGACCAGCACCTTGATTTGAATTTGGAAGCAGATCAGTAGCTAGTGTAGTTATTTCAGTATTCATATGGTATTGATCATATTAGTCCATCCAACTTAGAAAACTGGGCAGCTCTTGTGTTGTGCCAGATAAAGTTCCCAAGTTCTCTTCAAAAGCTCAGATAAGTTTAAAATGAACCACATGGCATCCTCAAACAGCGCAAAAGTGTTATGTTCAGGATAAATCCAAAGATAATGGGGCACAATAGTTTGTTCTCACTGGTTAGAGAGAGGCCCCCACTCAAATACTTCCTGTGAAGGAAATTGTTTGATCTAGATTATGTTCCCAGTTCACTGAATGCTTTAAATATTTATGCAATGAGCTATATTTTCTGAGCAGTTTCTAGGTTATGAAGTGTACATTTTGGAAGTCTAGATGAAAAATTATATATAGTAAATCCACTTTACACATGTATGACAGTTGAATCTTTAAACAGCAGAGTATAACATGACTGGAAATAAAATGACACTTCAGCACGTTATACAACGAAACTTTATGGCACATGCTGTGGTTGAACTTGCTCTTTTTCCATTTGGGGGTGAACTGTGTGGCAATGGTGTGAAAATGTAAATGGAAGAATGCCATAGAATGGCATTAGATATTTTTAAGAGCTTTAAGAAATACTGTATTTTTCAAACAAAAATTCTGTGAAGAGTGAAGATTGGGTCCCGAGTACTGGGAGTGGAAGGGGAATTATTTATTTTAAATACTTATATCCCTCTGTACTGGTTAGGAGCACAGACTCTAATCTGGGGGAACTGGGTTTGATTCCCCACTCCTCCGCATGCAGCTGATGGTGTGGCCTTTGGTCAGTTACAAGTTCTTTCAGAGCTGTTCTCTCAAGGACAGTTCTTGGGAGAGCTCTCTCAGCCCCACCTACCTCACAGGGTGTCTGTTGTGCGGAGGGGAAGGGAGAGGAGATTGTAAGCCGCTCTGAGACTCCTTCAGGTAGTGAAGGTCGGGGTATAAATCCAATCTTCTCCTCCTCCCCTTCCTCCTCTCTTAGACGCTGTACCAATGCAGCTAATAACTGCTACCTAAAAGCATGCAAATTAGGTGGGCATTCTCCCTCCCCTCTGATTCTTTAAAGGGAATGCAACTGAATGGCCAAGTAGGCACACGGGGAAGGACTCAGTGAGTTTACGGAGAGCTAACAGTTTGAACTGAGCCTAGAAACAAATAGGTGACCACAGCAAATAGAATGATTATGGAGTCGTCCCTCTTTGTTCAGTGAGCTCCAGTTAGTAACCGAGCAGCCCCATTCTTCACCTGGCATTTCTGAACACTCTTCAAAGACCCGCCCTTCAAGTACGTGTTACAGAAGTCCAATCTGGCTGTTACGATGCTATGAATTAATATAGAGAGTTTGCAGCATGCTAGGAAAGGGAGAAGTTGAGAGACCAGCTAAACTGATACTGATAAAAAGACCTCTACAGTCTGAACACGCAGATGCTGCAAAGGATCCAGAAGTATCCCGAACGGTGTGACTGATTCTTTAAAGGGAATGCAGCTGCATTCAAAATGAGCTCCAGCTCAGATCAACCTAGCCACCCGTGGTCTTGTCTAAGTTGGTTTGTTACACCACATTCATTCCATTTACTAGGCTGCTAGGCTGATCAATGCCACCTGTCCCCAAATCAGTTCAAAAATGAGATTGAAGTGCATGTAGAGTAATTAACACATGGAATCCACTGCCGCAGGAAATAGTGGCAGCTACAGGCATAGACAGCTTCAAGAGGGGATTGGATAAACATATGGAGCAGAGGTCCATCAGTGGCTCTTAGCCACATTGATGGAACCTTATGTATGGGGCAGTGATGCTCTATATTCTTGGTGCTTGGGGGGGGGGGCAACAGTGGGAGGGCTTCTGGAGTTCTGGCCCTGTGGGTGAACCTCCTGATGGCACCTGGGTTTTGGCCACGACATGACACAGTGTGTTCGACTGGATGGGCCACTGGCCTGATCCAACATGGCTTCTCTTATGTTCTTAGATAACTGGTTCCATCCAAGAAATTCTGGATTTAAGCATCCTCCACACGCTCAAGGACCTTGCCGAAAGCAAAATGTTGGCTACTTGGCTTGTATTTCTTTAGATCCAAGGGATCTAAGGAAGGGCTTTTCATGCTATCGGCTCCTTTAAGGATATCAGGATCTTATCAAGGAGTTATTCGTGAGTCCTCTCTTTCTAGCAGCTCCGATTATCCAGGAAGAGTATTGGTCATCATGGAGACGAGATTGGTTTGTGCTGTTCTGCAAAGAGTTGCTGTGATAGGTACTGTAGCAATTGTTTTGCCTACCTCTTGTGGAAGAAGTTGTGCAGACTGCTGTGCATTTGGAAGGACATGTTTGGATTTGGTTTCTAGCATGAGGTTTAAAATAGACCTTCAGTGTATGAGCGGACACCTTTGCAGCCAGCCCTATATAATTACATTTCAGGAATACAACTCGATTTCGGTAGTTTTGTCGCATAATCCAACAATATGATATGACTACAAGCTTTAGGGAGCCCAAGAAGTCCTGCTAAGATTGCATATGCATACAATTTCCCCTTATCCATCCTTCAAATGTCCCAGAGGGAATAATGCAATTCCCATAGACAAACACTATTGTGAACAAAACCAGACTATGTTTAGAGATGAATATGTCTCCCAACTTCGGTTATGCTTTCTGTTGACTTGTTATCCTGACAAGAAATCTGTAGATGAATTTGAGGGACGTGTTGTCTGTATTAATCTTGTGTTATCTCTGGGGTTTGGGAATTAGGTTTATCTCATGTCCTGTCTCTGGTCCTGCAAGAACTAAGCCAGTTCTATAAAAGAGATACCAACGGGGTTGGCATATTGTACGACCTTCTCCGGTCCCCGTGGCTACAGTCTCTTCTAAAGGTAACGTCTCTTCCATTGAGAACCAACTCATTTTAGTAATGATTGTGCTTTACCTTGCAGCGTATGGAATTGATTTCTGTCTGTATCATTGAGGATTAATTTTAAGTATATTTCATAGTGGGGACCTGTAATGAGCAAAGGCTTTGGGTGTGAAGAGAATTCATTCTTCCACTGATGATTTGCTGTCTCCTGCTCTAGACTGGGTGTGTAAATTATTTTTTGTCTGGAAAAAAAAATACGGGTGTTATATAAGACAATCTATAACAGCTCAGGACATGAAACATCCTGAATAATGTTATATCTTCTGAAACCGTAGAACTATAATGCTCACCCCTAATTCCACAACATTTATGAACAACTACAATAGCACGAGCCCTAACACCAGTCCTTATGGAATCCCAGATTAGGGATGGGCACAAACCAGCTCATGAACTATTCAGCACGAATTTTAGCCAGTTTGTGGTTTGTGAAGTAATGTTCGTGAACTGAAGAGCAGCCACAAACTTCCACGAATCTGATGCCGTTCGTGCTAAGTTTACTCAGGAGCCTTTGGTGAGAGACGTTTGTCAAAAGCCCTTTAGAAGTCTTTGGAGAGAAGGGAAAGAAAAATGAGTGAAGATTGGGATGAATTTGAGCAAAAGCTGTTATGTGGGTAGGTTGATTTTTGCTGCGATTCTTTCATGCAGAAGAGAAGTCAACAGAGAGTTTCACCAGGTTGGTGCCAGGGCCAAGAGAAGTCACAGTGATTCTCATGTGGCGTACTATGTAGTAGTTCCAGTACTAGAATGGCTAGCAGTTTTTCAGGTCAAAGGTTATTGCGTTTATTGGGTTCCACTGGGGTGTTAGAACACCAAATGGTTGACAAAATGGTTGACAGCTGTGTTATACAGTATGCCTTTTTTGTGCAATGTAGTAGTTCCAGTACTAGAATGGCTAGCAGTTTTTCAGGTCAAAGGTTATTGCGTTTATTGGGTTCCACTGGGGTGTTAGAACACCAAACGGTTGACAGCTGTGTTATACAGCATGCCTTTTTTGTGCGAATGGCATCCACAGTACAACTCCAGTATGGTTCTGCCCGTGCTTTACAAATGTATGATGCACAAAACATAGTTAAGTAGCCAGATTCATCTGATTTCCAAGATAGTGCAGGATGTTGGGGTAAAGACGCATGTATGTTGTAGGCCAGTGGTAGCGAACCTATGGCACGGGTGCCAGAGGTGGCACTCAGAGCCCTCTCTGTGGGCACGCGTGCCATCGTCCCAGCCAGGCCCAGACCATCATTAAAGTGTCGAATTCTCTGCCAAATAATTTTAAGTAAATGAAAGCATTTGGGATTGCTTTCCTTACTTTGTTTGGATCATCTTAAGTTAATGTAGGAGTTGTTTTTTCTAAAGTAAAACCTCAGTATTCAGGTTCAATTGCCGTGTTGGCACTTTGCGATAAATAAGTGGGTTTTGGGTCACAGTTTGGGCACTCGGTCTCTAAAAGGTTCGCCATCACTGTTGTAGGCGCATGGTTGGGAAAATAGGCACCTAAAAGACAAGGCAGATGTATGTGTTTAAAACCCACGCAGAAGGAAATGGGGTAACTGGGGGAGGGGGGGATGTGTGGAGCATGTGTGTAATCCATTTGCATGGATAATGTTTCCCACCTGACACTTTGCCGCAGCAGTGATTTATTGATCTCCAATACTTTCTACTCTTAGGTGTATGAGTGTCTTCATCAATACATCAAAAGGAAGCCGGTTCCTCTCACACCACAGGCACGCGCCTTGACCCATGAGGTAAGATGGATTTTCTTGATGGAGGCTGATCCTCTGTGATAGGAAATAACCCACAATTTAGAAAACCCTTTTTTTTCCTGGGTTTTTAATAATGAATTCTCTGGGAAGGGCGCCCTAATGCTAAGATGGTCACCACTCTTTTTCTGCATACGCTAGGGTAAGTTTAGTTGGCATACTGAGATCACCCAACAGCAAAATTCAACGTTTCCCGTCTGGGAGAATGTGTCATGCCTTGCTTTGGTACCACTGTATCCTCCTACAGCCAACATTTCTGGAAATCAACACAAAGCAGGTCCACATTGGTATTTTTGTGGCGGGAACGGTAATTTTTGCAAGGGAAAGGGATAGGGGCCACTTGGACAGGAAACCATTGATGTTACAAGAGCATGGTCACCATAGGCAACAGAAGTACACGCAAAATGAGTGATGTAGAGGCAGTTGTAGATGTAGAGGCAGTGATGTAGAGGCACTGCCACAGGAAGTGGTGGCGGCTACAGGCATGGACGGCTTCAAAAGGGAATTGGATAAGCATATGGAGCAGAGGTCCATCAGTGGCTATTAGCCACAAGGTATAGATAGGGGCTCTGGGGCAAGTGATGCTCTGTCTTCTTGGTGCTGGGGGGGGTCAACAGTGGGGGGGCTTCTAATGTCCTGGCCCCACTGGTGGACCTCCTGATGGCACCTGGTATTTCTGGCCACTGTGTGACACAGAGTGTTGGACTGGATGGGCCTTTGGCCTGATCCAACATTGGCGTCTCTTATGTTCTTATGTTCAGTTACCATCCAGGAATGGTGGCTAGAATCTGGTCTGCTCTGCACCCCATCCTCTTCTTCACCTATTTCTGAGAGATGCAGGGCCATGGACTAGACCAGTTGAGTTGCTGCAGTTGCAATAACATAGGTAGGCCGCCTTGCACCAGAGCAAGGAGATAGATCACTCTACTCCAGGGCTGTTTACATTAAAGTCCTATCCCATCCAGCAAGCATAACACGAAGGGTAGAATATGAGCTTCCGTGAGTCACTGCTCTCTTCTTCAGATAGTCTTTAAGGTGCTACCAGGGCCGACCCTACTTCGCTTCCAAGTCAACTCTGGGCTATCCAGGGCAGGGCTGGGAAAGAGCACAGAGGCATTTTGATCAAATATTTGTTGGTGCATTTTACTACTTAGTATTTTAATGGTTTTCAGCCCTTTTTTTTTTTTTTAGAAAGCACCAAGGAACATATCGTACGCTTTCTGAAGGTTCATTTAGTCTTCCTTACTTATCCTCAGGTAGCGGAGTTGTTGCGTGGAGTCCACCCAACATCAGAGGTCAGGGAGCTGAGGCGACTTCTACGTGGCCCCCACTTGAAGGCAAGTACTGACCCCCAAATTTGTCACATGGCGGATTGGCTAGGAGGAAGAGGAGCAGAAGATTACGAAGATGTATAGTGGCTCAGAGGTTAAGACGCTGAGCTGCAGACTGGAAGGTCTGTAGTTTAGCAGTTCGAGACCCGAGTGCCACATGACGGAATGAGCTCCTGTCTCTGGCCCCAGCTCCTGCCAACCTAGCAGTTCGAAAGCAAGAAATTGCAAGTAGATAAATAGGTATCGCTTCGGTGGGAAGGTAACAGCGTTCCGTGCACCTCGGCATCCAGTCATGCCGGCTCCATGACCACGGATACATCTTCGGACGGTGCTGGCTCTTCGGCTTGGAAATGGAGATGAGCACCGCATCCCTAGAGTCGGATTCGATTAGCTTTCGATCAAGGGAAACTTTTACCTTCTAGTTGAAAGGGGGCAACTCATTCCTTGAAGACCTTCTTTCCTGTTCTGCCAACTGGCCACTTAGTATTTTATTGCCATGAAAGAATTATTATTATTTGGTGGAGGGGCTGTGGCTCAGTGGAAGAGCTTCTGGATTGGATATGGAGCCTGGATGTGGAAAAGATCCCTTCTCACACAGCCTGTCCATTCATTTCTGGTTGAGTCCCCCCATCTCTACGAGGGCAGTAACTGTGACCCAACTTGCAGGAATGGTATGAGAACAAATAAGATTAATAAGTCACATTCAATGAACACTGACATGTCAGCTTTCTGCTAGAAGGTGCCCAAATGAAAAACCAAATGGGAGCATTGGACTGTCAATTAGGAATGTCAGCCTCCAGGCGGGACCTGGGGATCCCCCGGAATTACTGCTCATCTCCAGACTACAGAGATCAGTTCCCCTGGAGAAAATGTCTGCTTTGGAGGGAGGCCTCTGTGGCCTTGTACCCCACGTGGTTAAGTACGCGGACTCTAATCTGGGAGAACCGGGTTTGATTCCCCACTCCTCCACTTGCAGCTGCTGGATGACCTTGGGCAAGCCATAGTTCTGACAAGAGTTGTTCTCTCAAGGACAGTTCTGGAAAGAGCTCTCTCGGCCCCGTCTGTTGTGGGGAGGGGAAGGGAAAGGAGTTTGTAAGCCACTCTGAGACTCCGAGTGAAGGGCGTGGTATACATCCAATCTCCTCTTCTTCTTTCCACATCTTACTTCCCAGAAGTCGCTTTCCAAGATGGTCTAACCCCTCCATTCCCCCCACACACAGGCTTTACTATCCGCTCACGATACTGTGGCCCAGAAAGATTATGAACCGATTCTTCCACCTCTGCCGGACAACATCCCTGAAAACGAGGAAGCCATGAGGATTGTCTGCCTTGTGAAAAACAAGCAACCCCTCGTAAAGTTCCATTTTACATTTGAACTTGTGCAGCCTGTTCTTAGTAATAAATTTCCCTCGAAGTTCTAAAAAAATGGCGTACAGAATTTGAGTTACCTCACCCTTTAACTCATGCTCATTTTGCTACATTTATGTTTGCCTTTAAACGTGTGTTCAAAGGTATGATACGCTTTTGAGGTTGAAGATGTGCGTGTGGACTGAAGATTTAGTTGTAAAGAAGCGTCTTCTAAATGACCTGGGAAGATATTCAGTAATTGTACAAGACTGTTTCTAGATTTAGATCAGGGCCCCCTAACATGGTGCCCACCGACACCTTTGTGGCACCCATCGGGTCGTAAAGTTCCATTTTACATTTGAACTTGTGCAGCCTGTTCTTAGTAATAAATTTCCCTCGAAGTTCTAAAAAAATGGCGTACAGAATTTGAGTTACCTCACCCTTTAACTCATGCTCATTTTGCTACATTTATGTTTGCCTTTAAACGTGTGTTCAAAGGTATGATACGCTTTTGAGGTTGAAGATGTGCGTGTGGACTGAAGATTTAGTTGTAAAGAAGCATCTTCTAAATGACCTGGGCAGATATTCAGTAATTGTACAAGACTGTTTTTAGATTTAGATCAGGGGCCCCTAACATGGTACCCACCGACACCTTTGTGGCACCCATCGAGCGTTTTTAGGAAGTGGGAGAAACCAGTTAGGCCTTTTGCCCAGCAAGACCTCTGATGACTATAGGAGATTTGATTAGCTTTGCAAATTTTAAAAAATGTTACTTCAGCCACAGCTGCCCCCAGGACACAAGGATCTGCACTGTGTTACTAAAGTTAAGCTGTGGCAGCCATTTTGTAGCTGGCTCTGCCTCCTAAGGTTGCCATTCCCCGGGTCCAGGCAGGGAATCCTCCAGTTTTGGGGGCTTCTGCCGACCAGCTGACCAGCGGGGGAACCCCGCCCCCAAAGAGTGACATCCCCTACATCGTCCAGAAGTGACGTCATTATGTTGGGCACATCATGCAGTGATGCTCTGGTTTTTCAGCAAAACTCTATGGTTTGAGGGCAATTTTACTACAGTATTCTGCCTTCAAACCAGAGCATCATCCCACCCCCATAGAGTGACGTCACCAGGCGATGTCCCCTACATCGTCCGGAAGTGACGTCATCATGCTGGGCACATCATGCAGTGATGCTCTGGTTTTTCAGCAAAACTCTATGGTTTGAGGGCAATTTTACTAAAGTGTTTTGCCTTCAAACCAGAGCATCACCCCACCCCCATAGAGTGACATCACCAGGCGATGTCCCCTACATCGCCCAGAAGTGACGTCATCATGTTGGGGACATCATGCAGCGATGCTCTGGTTTTTGAGCAAAACTCTATGGTTTGAGGGCAATTTTACTACCGTGTTTTGCCCTCAAACCAGAGCATCACCAGATGACGTCCCCAACGTGATGGCATCACTTCCATGTGATGTTGCATCGCAGAGCCCAGATCCGCTGCTGGAAGGCTCCCTCCTACCTCCCGCCAGTGCATTCATGAGACCTGGCAACCCTACTGCCTCCTGCGGCAGCCATTTCGTGGCAGCCATCTTGTTGCTGCACCCACTGTGCCATGTCAGAATTCCAAATGTGCCCGCAGGCTCAAAAGGGTTGGGGGACCTCTGATTTAGATCATATTTTACCTGTTTTTAAGAAACTGTTGGCCTGGCCAGGGCAGTTGGTTGGCTGCTGTGAGAAACCAGATGCTGGGCTAGATGGACCACTGGTCTGGCCCAGCAGGTTCCACTTATGTCCTTACAGCCTGAGCCCAAGGGACAGATACAGGTTTTCTACATCTGAGTAGACTAACTATAACATCCTTATCCTGTCCTTCTGGTCAGTACATGGTTCTCTCCTCCTCCTCATGATTTTTTAAAATGATTCTGTTAGGAATAGAGCTACGGGGGATTATGTGGCTTTCACATTAATGAAATCCAATTGTGTGGTGGCTGATATTGTGTGCTTCTTAAGAAACATGATGTCTCTCTCTGAGAGCCAGTTTGGTGTAGTGGTTAGGAGCGCGGACTCTTATCTGGGAGAACCGGGTTTGATTCCCCACTCCTCCACATGCAGCGGCTGGTGTGACCTTGAGTCAATCACAAGTTCTCTCAGAGCTGTTCTCTGAAGAGCAGTTCTTGAGAGCTCTCTCAGCCCCACCTACCTCACAGGTTCTCCATGGCGGGGAGGGAAAGGAAAAGGAGATTGTAAGCCGCTCTGAGACTCCTTCAGGTAGTGAAGGGCGGGGTATAAATCCAGTCTCCTCTTCTTCTTCTGTCTTGGATCCTGCCTACCTATTGGCTCTATAGCTGAGGGAGGAGGCAGAGGTTGGCAGAAAAATGGAGCATCTACAGAGGGAAGGAACATCTGCTGAGGGATCCATCCTTAATGTTTCTCTACCATCTGTATTAATTTCTGAAAACTCACCAACTGTACACTTTAAATGAATAAAATGGGAAAGGAAAAGAAATAATGCATTTAAAACATTTTTCCCCTAGGGGGCCACTATTAAACGCCACGAGCTAACAGGAGACATTACGGTGGCAAGAGTCATCCATGGCGGGTTGGCAGATAGAAGCGGTAAGAGGAATTTAAAATGTGCATCAGGGAAGGGATGGTGGGTTAGCTGCTTTCTATTTCCCTTCCCCCCCCCCCTTCTCTTTTGCAATGAACCTTTTGATGAAGACATCTTTTGGGCTTTACTTAGTGCAGTCTGTTTCTCTGGGATATTTCACTTAATCTCTTCCTCGTGTGCTAGACTGCATGGGTACTGCCAGGTTGCTTATAGGTTATCTTGTTCTTGCTGTACTACTGCTCTGGAAGACTACCTTCTCAACAGGTCAGTCTAGATGTTCTCAGGAGATCCTGTGTGGTGGCAGCTGATTACCAGCATACTTTCCAGGGAACCCTTGGTATAAGAAAAGAAAGGCACCATTTTCCTTTTCCCACCTAGAGGCCTTCACTGAAATGGGGTCTTGGAGGCTTCAAAAGCTCACTTCAGAGGGTCCATTAAAAAAAAAAAAAAGCCCACTCCTTGGGTTGCCAAGTCCTCCCTGGCCACCAGCAGAGGGTTGGGATGTAGTAGGGATGCCAGACCCCCTGGTTTTGGGCGCTTCTCTCTGCCACCGGCCAGATGGGTGGTAGGGGAGAATTACCCCCTAAGCAGGCAAGAAGCCGGAAATACACGAGGTGCTTACGTAACCTGGAAGTGATGTAGGCATGTCAATGATGTTGTTGGGATGCTCTGATTTTTGGGCAAAACTCTATGGTGGAAGCTAATTCTATCATAGAGGTTTTGCCCACAAACCAGAGCATTACCCGCTAACGTCCCTACATCACTTCTAGGTGACATATGTTGGAAAAATAGTAAAAAATGCTTAAATTGTTCAGTGTGTCAATGGATTTTGCTTCACTGAATGCGGAGACTTTCTGTTTAAAAAGCTTTATTTCTAATGGTAAAGGGTATACAGGAAAACTACAAATAAACAAAACATCTAAGAGCTACATTTCTGCTGCTTACTTCTCAAAGCAGTTACACACTTCTCAAGCAACCTTCTTCTCGACCCCTAGAAAGGAAGACACCTGAAAATAGTAACCAATAATTGTTTGTAAACACACTCAGATTCGCTGGCTTTTTCCACATTGGCTGTCTGCCAGGTTTTTCCTTCCAGGTCAGTCTAGACAATAGCATAGAAAGGCAAACAAGTTAACCCTATAATGGTTGGAATCTGAGACCTTGCAAACACATACATTTCCAACAATAGGCACGTCATGTATATTTCCAGCTTCTTGCCTGTTTGGGGGGGGGGGTAATTCCCCCCTGCCAGCCAGCTGGCTGGTGGCAGAGGGGAACGCCCAAAACCAGGGGACCCCTGCCCGCACTGGCTTCTTCCCTCCCCACTCCCAGTAAGTTCACCCCCATCCCCTGCGGGATGGTCCGACGGACCTGGCACCCCTAGGACATAGGGCTCCCAGCTCCAGTTTGGAAAACTCCTGGAGATCTGGGGATGGAGCCTGGGGAGGACAGGGACCTCAGTGGGGTACAATGCCAGAGAATCCACCCTCCAAAGCACCCATATTTCTCCAGGGGAACTGATCCCTGTAGACTGGAGATGAGCTGTAATTCCGGGGGACCCCCAGGCCTTCCTGGAGGCTGGCATCCTACCCACTCCTCTGATACTTGTACTTATATGAAAGGCTAGAGTGTTGAGACTATGTCTAGTCTGCGCACTGAATATCTTTGCCCAGATCTGGGGCCAAGAATCCAGCTCTCTCTTGAAAGCGCAGCGTGTCTTTGCCTACCTCTTCTTTGGTGGAGCTCTTCACATCGGCCTTTTTTGTTGCAGGGTTGTTGTATGCTGGAGACAAATTGGTAGAGGTGAACGGGGTTCCGGTGGAAGGGCTGGAGCCGGAGCAAGTCATCCACATTCTGGTACGATTATACGAAGATTTTAATAGCACCCAACGGCAGCACGTAATCAGTGCAAATGAACACAGAACGACACCCTGAAAGCCACAGTTT